TTCACAGCTGGCAGCAGGGTCCATGCTCAGGATTTCTCCTTCCTCTTGCACCACTGCTCTGGCTCTCTAGCTAACTCTTCTGCCTTCTGCTTCCAGTTTTAAGGGTCCAGTGATACAGTTCTACCCTCCTACTGTTGCAGGCAGCCGAGTTAGACAGAAATATTATAGGCAGTCAGACAGGGCCAGGCCCTCGAAGGAGACAGCACACAAGATGAGATGCCTTACTACTGTGGGAGGGACAGATGCTCCTGCTGTGAACCAGATCTGAACACCTAAAGGCCAAACAAATGCTAAACAAGTAGCACCTGGGATTGATATTCTAAATAGGTATCAATCACCTGGAAAGACCCAAGTGAGTCACTAGCCCAACCCCAACAGAACGACACCCTATCCCGCATTCCAACCCCCAACGGGAAAAGACCCTGTCCCATATGTAATCCCATTGGTTGACCATAGTTTTGTCCCACCTCCTGCCCACCTTAGTGAGTTCCCATTCTCTCTACCTTAGCCTCACATGGTTTTACACTATAGAACTCCCTGGAAGTGACAGCTTCCTGGGGGAACTGTCCCTCTCTTGGACAGGAGCTTTCTTTCTCTCAATAAATATGTTGGGCTCATAACCTCTGTTTGTTCCTAAAATTCATTCTTCGGTTTTAGAGAACACGAACTCGTGCAGGTCAGGTCCAGAGATCATTTTTCTCTATGTCATTTGGACGTTCCCTGTATGGTTTAGAGGTCACCCACCCGAGACCAGTTTTTCTTCCCTGTATCACTACTGTCAGAGACCTCCCCACTTTGACCTTAATTCCATGTGTAAAGTCTCTTTTGCAAAATGATACAGTGTTGTCTTATATAAAACACCAGGGATCACAGGGCTCTAATCCATTGGTTGTGCAGTTGAAGACCCAGCCTACTTCAGCCAAACGCTAGTTGGCACTATTGGCTGCCAAGATTAGGAAGTGATACAGGTGTGACCCTGGGCACTTGCAGTTGCCACCTTCCAAGTGATATATGTAAAGACTTCAATTTGCTTTGAGAAAGATAGGTTTATTGCAAATATCTTTTCTGAAATTTCATGAGTAATGGATACTTACAGGAAATTTGAAAAATTAGATGTTTTAGGTTGTAAAAATCAACTGGCTGTTGCCTAGAAGCAGTGATTATTGAGTGGCTTTTTGTATATCCACTTTCCTCATTCTTTACCCTAGAATACACTTTTTCAAAGTTCTGAAGGTGTGCAGGAGAGGGCTTGAGTGAGAAGGGGGCTGTGTCATTTGGAGGACATATTGAAGGGCTTCCCAGAGGTATTGGAAAGTAAAGGCAAGGCTCTGCTGCTACCCTTGTAACCTTTTGGCTCTTAATCCCTCACCCCTACAAGTGCTGGAGGGTGCCTGTGGCTCTTCAGCTGCTAAGGCCTGGTGAAAGGAAGTTAGTCTTGGAGTGTGCTGTGGATACCCACCTGCCTCCTCCTCCTGGCCTGCTTATCTCCTTCGAGCGGCCATGAGGTGGCTGCTCCCTCTGCTCTGCACTCCCACTAGAGGGGCTGCCTCACTATAGGCCCTGGAGCAACAGCACCAGGCTCCTGTGGATGGAAACATCGGCACTGGTGAGCCAAAGCAGACTTGGGTCCTCCACGTTGATCATCTCTGGTATTTTATCACAGTGACAAAAAGGTAACACACTGTGTACTACCTTTTGAGTCGGCCAGTATAGCCTGTTAGGGCCAAGAGCCTTTGGTTGCTATCTTAATATACAGTTGAAGCAAAAGGTCTCTTCATTGAATGTTTATGCTAGATTGCTTTCTCAGAGGCAAAAGAAGATTGGCTTGACCATCACTGAAGTCTTCAGGTTTCCATTTGGAAGCCTTGCCTGTCAGTAACATTTAGCTTGAGTCCTTTTGATTTCAAGAATGTGACTGTTAGTAGTGAGCTCGAAATATAACCACACTAAATATGAATATGCAAAGCGAAGCAGTTTTTCTGAAACCTATACCATATCCATAATTAGGCCGTAGTTTGTATAAGGCCAAATGGTCTATCCTGTAAAACATTTGATTTTGGCTGGGCATGGTGTTGCACACTTTGTAGTTCTTGCCTTCGGGAGGCTGAGGCACAAGGATTGTTGCAAGTTCGAGACCAGCCTGGGCCACAAAGTGAGCTCAAGGCCAGCCTGAACTGCATAGTGAGACCCTGTCTCAAAAAAGACAACCCCAAAGTCCCCCCAAAATTGATTTTATAAACATTTTTCTGTGTCTATGTTAGGTTGTATACTAACCATTCTTTTATGACGATGCGTTTTTAAAATATCCTTTTCATTTTCAGCATCTTCCAAATGTCAGCAAGGCCAGGCACAATAACTTACATAGTATTAAGTACTTCCGAACAGTTACTACTGCAACATGACAACAGAGCTGTGAAGTACACAAGTATTTTTAGCTCAGTTGAGGAATTTGAGACCCAAAAAACTGAGTCATTGAATTAGATCAGAAACCCTATGGGGAGTGAAAGGGCATGGATCAAACTTATTTCAGTGTAATTTTAGTTCCAATGATACTTAGAATTTAAATCCTTTGTCGTTTGAAGTGGTGTTAGGGTTTAACTCTAGAATGTTCCCCCAAAACCTCATGTGTTCAGAGGTGGGGCTTCAGTGTTGGGGCACTGTAGCTTGTCGGGCGCGGGCGCCCTGCTCCTCAGCCTTGCCCCTTCCGCTGGAGCTTATGCCACGAGCCTTGTTTCCTGTATAGCTTTTGGTCCCTGCTGGTAAGATTTGATTGGTTCACATAGCCCTACGAAGCAGCTGACTATTGGCCTATTGCCCATGTCAGGCGATGTACGTGGCACCCACTGATAGGTCCGGGGAGGGGATATAAGGAGGGGTTAGAGGAAGTGGAGGAGGAGGAAGAAGAAGAGAGAGGAGGAAGAAGGACACGTGAAAATAAAGGGAACGAAAACAAAGGAGGCTCCGTCTCGTCCTTTTCCAGCGCCAGTCAGTAGCTAGCTTGCTGGTAGGAGGAGCACCTGCTTAGAGGCAGGTCACTTGGGGTGTCCTAGGATGATGTGTCTCCCTTCTGCTTCCTGGCCACCATGCAGTGAGGTCCTTCTGACCATGGAGCAACCATTTGTGTACTGAGTCCTCTAAAACATGAGCCTCTGGATTGAGTTGTGGGTGTTGGCTGTGTCCCAGCTGTGGGAAGAGTGTGGCCAAGACAAGTGGCAAGAACCATGCATGGTTCCTTGTTTCTGTCTGGACAGGATTGTTGCATGAAGTTTCTGTTGAAGGTGGCCTGTGGCTCACTTCCTTGTCACTAGGGCAGTGATGGCAAACCTTTTAAGAGGTTCTGTAATGATGGCAAACCTTTTAAGAGGTTCTGTAATAACAAAAGCCCCCTGCCTGCCACTAGGGTGCCATAGGGTCACCACCCCTGCCCTAGGCTGTCCTTCATTAGTGCCTGCTCTTCTAACAAGTCTGGCCTAGGGGAAGCCTATTATTGCCTGCTTATGGTGGTGGATTTGAGGAAATAAATTCCCAGTATTTGGCACTAGCTTAGTGTCACTTCCATAAACGAAGCCTCACAGTCATTTCATTCCCTAAGTCTGCTCCTCACTTCTGTACTAATCAGGCAGCAGGACAAGATGCAGATGCTTCCTGTATCTATCTGGGCTCCTGGTCTATGTATTTCTGTTGTTGCTCTCCTCTGTTGTTAAGGTGCTTTGCTGAGAATATTGAAAAAAATAGTCTCTTAGTCCATTATGCACGTTACTGTAATTGTCTCTCCACTTCCCAAATAGCTGGTATTTCTTTCCTGCTTAGCACTGCAGAGGCTTTCCATGCTAGAAGAAAAAGTTCATGCATCCCCAGTGTCATTCTGGCATGACACCCCATCTCCCACCAGACTCTGTGCTCCACCTGTCCTTAGTGACTTGTGTCACTAGGCAGAGCCTGGATTTTCTGTCTCTGCATCTTCAAAACTAACCTGCTCCGTAGCACCCGTGTTCTCCTGTAGCCATTTCATTCCTACCTTCAGTTATGCTATATGTGATCTTGTTACCTCTTCTGTACTCTGTGAATACTTTTAATTTCTCTTTTTTAGATTAATCTTGCCTTTATTGGCAAGTGCCATCTGGAACTTGGAAAAGAAAATACAAAAATGTAGAAGGTTTAAAAACAGTCTCAAGAGGGCTGGCGAGATAGATCAGCAGATTACATGCCTGCTTTGCCAAGAGCAGGGACCGGGGTTCAATCCCCGGTCCTGTATGCTGCGCCAGCCTTGCCCCCAGCGTGCGCTGAGCCAGCTAAGGAGTCTGGGCATGGTGGCGCATGCCTGTAATCCCCGTGCTGCAGAAGCTGAAAACAGGAGGATCACTAGGAGTCTGATCTGTGTAGTGAGACCCTGTAGATCCTATACTAAATACATTGAAAATAAATAAATTTTTAAAAATTTAGTCTCAAAAAGGATGAAGCTGTGGAAACAGATCCCATTACCCTGTACCATCAGAGGCCAGACTCACCCTGCTTAAAGAATTTAGTGCATTTTCTCAAGTTTTCAAGCCCAGTAAACTACAGTTGGAAAAGTTGGATTCATACGTAGAATTCATCTCTTTGATATGCAGTGTATGTCACTTAAGAATACAGTAAATGTTACAGCTCAGCTTTTAAATTTTTATTTACTTTTGTAAAATGAAAACCCATGTAAATTGTATTTAAATAGGTTTTTCTTTTTTTCTTTTTTTTTGGTGGAACTGGGGATTGAACTCAGGCCCTTGCACTTGCCAGGCAAGTGGTTATTCTACTGAGCTCTCTCCCTGGCCCCCTTAAATAGGTTTGTGAGCATAAAATTTTTCTTATTTTAGGTGTCAAGATGCTTTAATACAGACTGTGTGTGTATGTGTCTGTGTATTAGATTTAGTTAAATATTTTTAGACATTTCTTAAAGCATTGAATTTAGGAACAAATTATTTTTCAGTGCACCATTCCCCCAAAAAACTGATTTTTGAATAGCATTTATCTAGTTTTGTTGTGGTGGTAAAGCAGAATGATACTTAAAAATATCAAAGACTGAGCCATAATTATTTTAAGGCTGCACCTTCAGTTTGAGTATATAATAGACCTTGGCTACATTTGCTGTTCAGAATTATCCCAAATTTAATTGTGGCACCACACTTAGAGATTATTATGGGCGCATGTCAGCCATCTGCACAGCTGAGTAAGGGCCATAAGGCGTGATGGCTAAGTTTAGACACGGCTCATTAAGCGAGGACTCCAGGAGGAGCACACACTTCACAATCTCCCAAACCAGCAGTGACACAGACACTGAAAGACAAACTTGTAGGAGCAGAACCAACACAGCTTTCACGCTCGCTTCCGTCTTCTGCACTCCCAGAGTCTCCAGCCACACCATCTCGTTCCCTTGACCTGCTGCTGGGAGGCAGGTCAGGTCCTAGATGCTGCCACCCCTTGCACAGGCCTTCCCATTGGGTCCTGGTCTTCCAAGGGCGACCATCCGTGGTGCCTGGAGGGAGAATTACAGACACCGAAACAGAGTCAAGGAAACAGGAGAGTTCAGGAAAGCTGCTTAACCCAGCTTATTGTTTTCACATGCCTCTAAGATGTTTAACATATACTTGGGCTAGAAACGTCAGAGGAAGTCTTCCCAGTGTAGTCCTTAAAGGGTAGATAAGGTGCTTTGAATCTGATTTACTTTGCCTGAATTTCAGGAAGGCTGGGAGTCTTCCCTTAGGATGGAGGCACACAACACCCATTAATTATGTAGAAGTCAGTGTAAGTTCTCTTATGTCCCAAGTCTTCACTGACTTTGAAAGGCTCGGGCCAAAATGTTGGCTGTCCTTGCAGCCCTTCTTTTTCTCTAATTTTTGTTCTGCAAACTTAGGTTGTTAACTCCCCAGAAGAGAAGCTTATTATTACCCTACAACATATGCAGTTGGGTTTAACCTCACCATCTGTCTGAATATCAAACATCTTAGATGTAACATGGAATAGATATTTTCCATCTAGTATTGATGTGTTAAGCTTTTAAGTCTCTACAGAATATGGAGAAAAAAATTTAAAAAAATATTTTAAAAATATGAATAAACATCATGCAACTCAGTTGTGTCCCAAACTTCCTGATCAAGATTATGAGGCCACAGAGCAAAGTGATCGATGACATAGTGTGCCTAAGGAGAGTCACATGGAGAGAAAACATTCTCTCAGGCTTTCACAGAGAGCAAATTGGTCAAGCAATGGCCGTGACTCATCCACATGGCTGAAAACGACAAAGGATCTGCAAACTGCGGTACAGCGTAACAGGATAAATCCTGAGGGGACTTGACTGACCTTATCAGATACAAAAGATACATTTCTTGTTACATAGGTCTTGCTTTATCTTGGTCTTAACAATCCAGCAGAAAAGTATATTAAAAAAATTATGTAAAAGTCAGGTTTTAAGCTAAAACCACTTACTTGAAGTTTAGATGTTCAATGAGGACATATCCATCTGCAGAAAAAAAAAAAGACTTAATCTGAAGGGTTTTTCTTTTTAAAGAAAATATTTTTAAGATATTATAAGAAATCATAGGGATTTCATGGGCGATCAGTTAATATTTACCTACATTTGCCTTTGGAATTGCGGCATATCACTAGGTTTTGGTCGGTGGTGTCGATGACTTCCAGTTCTTCCCCAGGAGTTACTGGCAAATCAAACATTCCATTCCTTGAAGTACTGGAACATACCACTGCTCTGTTGATGACAGCAATTTCCTTGTTATACTGAAATGAGAAATTTCTGATCAGATCATGCTTTCATCTAAGATATTTTTCACTGTAACCAAGGTAATGGAGAATATCATAGTAACTTGAAAAGAAAAAGGAAAACCTTAAGGTAGTATTTAGTAGCACCTGAGGGAATACAGGATAACAGGAAGGTACACAAAAGTCATTTAAAACAATAAGATCCTTTAATCATATATTTATTTGGTATGAGTATATTTTAAAAATGTTATTACTTCCATATTGTAATTGTACTAAAAGTGAATCCTGGTGAATAAGACAGCTGCGGCATAGGCAAAAATTAAGTGTGGTGGGTAGTATGTTGGCTCTCACAGTAGTAAAGTTACCTATAAACTGGAAAAGGAACACTTACGAAGAAATAAAGCCCTCTTTGTTAGTTCCTTACTCTATGACATTCTTAGATGCCTATCGCTTGTAGAAGTCAGTTTTCCACCTTTCCAGGGAGCTTGTCTGATATGCTTTACAGGTGAGAACTTTCCATTTATAGTCAGAATGCATTTGTGAAAAAACTGATAATACAATTTCAGACACTACAGAAATATTATTTACTTATTTTTGTCTGTATGATAAACTAGCTGCCCTCTACATCTGTATGTACCTTACCTTCTGGTGTACTGAAATCTGTTGACCAGAAAAAAAAAAAAAAAAAAATTCAGGAATATGTAGCTTAGAGTACAAATGTCTCTTTCACCAAATTAGGGTGACAATATCATTCTCTGCCAGGACAGTCTGTGTTTATAATAATGTCTCCGTTTACAGGTATTTATGATTGAGTGCCTCCTGGGCTGGGGATGCGGCTTACCGGGAAAGAGTCTGCCTGGCATGCACAAGGTCCTGAGTTTAATTTCTACTATCACTTAAAAATTTTTTTTTACTCTGAAGTATTCTGATTTTGCATGATAAATTATAAGATCCCTCTTACAATACCAAGACATATAATCTACAAGGTAGTTCCCTTCCTTCTCTGTTGCTTAATCACTCTTCTTCCTCTCTCAGGGCATTCTTTCCTGTTCATAAAGTTCGGAAAACTCTCCATTGCTTTTAGGATAAGATCCACACTTCTTAGCTTGGTGTTCAAAGCCCTTCCCACACTGTCTTCCCCCAACCATCCATCCATGAACTGTGACAATCATTCAAATGTACCATATAATTTTCCTATTGCTATACCTTAGCTCATGCTGTTTTTTTCCTGCTTGCATTCCTCCGTTTCTTGCTTCTTAACCATCTTTTGTATTTTTATAACAGCCATGTATAAACTGCACTGTGTATACCATTACAGCATTTAGTAAACATATGCCTTATGAAGTAGAAAGAACTATTCACCTTTTACAACTCAAATCTCTGCCCCTTATCAACCCAAAAATTCAATGAAGGAAAAAGGACTAGGTAGAGTACATGAGACTCTTCAATATGTAGTCACTGTGCTGTTGTTCTCCACCTAATTAAGTAACATCAGTTGGGAGTAGGTGATTTCAGATCACAAGATTACTCCAGATACTGTAGCCCCCATCGGCTTTGTTCTAAGCAGGAATTATGGCGCTTATGAGAGATTTATTGAACATTGCTATTTTAGTTCAGGTCAAAAGTTGTGGATGTTTACAAGGAGCTAGTCTTCCTCTGCTCTGCAGATGAATGTGAAGATAAATGATGCAAGCCTTTTTCTTTACAACCTTACAGTTTTGACATGATGGACATGCAGCTGCAGCAAGCTAGAGGGCGTTGTGTTAAACGTGCATTAAAGGAGAAAAATGTCATGAGGCAGTTTAGGCAAGTTTTCATAGAAAGAGATGATACCTCAACTGGGTCTTCAACAAATTGGAGAGAGAAGCAAGTGTGTACCAGACAGAGCAGACCACGTGGACACTGAGAGGAATGGGACAGGACAGCCAGATGAAGAGAGATGGCATTCACGTGGGCAAGCCGTGAGCAGAACTCCATTTGCCAGAGCACCAGGTGTGAGGGCAGAGTGGCAGGAAGTAAAATGGAAAGATGAGCGAAGGCCATGCCTGAGTTTTCACAGGCAGACAGGATAGCACATAGAATGACACTGTTGCAGGGCATGGTGGCACATGCCTGTAATCCCAGCACTTAGGAGGCTGAGGCAGGAGGACCCTTGTGAGTTTGAGACCAGCCTGGGCTACAAAGTGAGCTCAAGGCCAGCCTGAGCTGCACAGGGAGACCCTGTCTCAAAAAATGACAGAAAAAGATGGGCATTGTCAGTGCCAGGAAAAATCCAAAGTATCTGCATTGGCAAACTTACAAACAAGATCTTTAAAAGTGGAATTTGTTAGTTGTTAATGTTGCTAACTTACATCTTCAAAGGAGAACATACCTGAAACCGTTGTCTAAAAAGCTTTTCCTCTCTTATTCTGTTCTTTTCTAAGTAGTTTTTCTTCTTGGTTCTGAAGAAATTTCTAGGAGAAAAACTGGCAAGAAATACACAGATGGGGTTAAGTGGACTATAATAAAATGTTTACATTTCCAAATACACATTCTGCTTAAGGATAAACCCAGGTGTAAGTTTCTGTATAACTATATAAAATCATGTACCTACATGTATATATACAATAATACATGTCTGTGTAAATACATGTACATAAACAGCTAAGAATAGTAATGCCGATTAATTTCTTCAGCTTAAAAAATGTACACAGAGCATGTGTTGGTATGAATCTGGTGCTTGCGTATGCTAGGTAAGCCCCTCACTGAGCTGCACCCCAAGTCTTACAATTATGTGTGTGTGTGCATCAGACCCAGGGCCTACACGTTACGCATGTACTCTACCACCTCAACCCTAGACGTTTTTGATAGCAAGATGACATGGAATCAATTCTCCTTGGTAGAAGATGGGCAAGGAGTACAGGACAGTTGAGCAGGAGGAATAACTTTTAATGCTCTGTAGCACAGTCAGCGTAGTTGATAATGACTAATCACATATTTCAAAATAGCTTCTAGAAAGGATTTTTTTCACATTCCCAACATGATGGAGGCTTGAGGTGATGGGTATGTTGCTTGTCCTCATCTGATAATTATACTCTATATACAGATATTAAAATGTGGCACCATGTCCCGAGGTGCATACAGTTGTGTCAGAAATTAAAGATCTTTGAGACATATCTCAACTCGGAATAATAAGGAACGTATCCTTTAAAAACTGGAAATGTATAGATCTTCTCACTCCCGCTTTCAGATTGCTTAGTGGAATCAGAAGCAGCGAGCAGTGGGCTTACGCTTTGTGGGTTCCTGCTTTTCAAGTATAATCAAGGAATTGCACATCCACATAGTTCAACCAAGTAACTGCCCCGTTTCCTGAACGATATGGGAGATGGATCCTTTAAGACACCATGGCTAAATACCACAAAACGTGCACAGATAGCAGCACATGAACGTGGACAGACTCGCAGTGGGAGCCAGTTACCCTGTGACTCCTCTGCCCACCCTTCTGCTCATCACGTGGGGCTTGGTTCTCTTGCTTAACAGTTAGTGTACTGACTGACAAAAGGAAAATTGTCAACCAAGTCCTGTTGGTTTTTTTCACCAGGGAATTCTACATCTAGTTACTCATGCCCATTTCAGATTATCAGCACTTCTTGTCTAAGGTACTGTCTTATTCTTGCCAGCCTCTTTAAAAACCAACCTGCCTACCTACTTTCAGAGCCATCTTCCTGAAATCTAATCCTGCCACTCTTCTGCTAAAAACCTTTCAGTGTTTCTTTGTTGCCTATAGGAAGAGCCCAAGTCTGTTAGCATTTGTCCAGTCTACCTTTCCAGCTGTGTAAGATGCCCTCTTCCCTACACATACAACATCTGCATGGGTCATCTGAGAGAGCAGGCTGCCCTTCTCATGCCTTTCAATACCCTTCTTATATCCTCTTAAAACTTGACATCATCTTTGATTAATGAAGGCATAACAAAAGAATTGCAGTGATATATAAAGCATTTCTTATTGATGAGTAAGTTATGGTAGACACCATTAAAAAGAATAAAAGACCACATGAACATTGATATATCAACTTACAGGAATGATAGCTATTGTATTTTCAAATTTACTCAATTGACAGCAAAAATAAGCTCTTATGTCACTTCAAGAGCAAACACTAGAAAACTGCTTTCCAGAAAGGCTTATATGTGGCTATCAGTATATTAAAAGGGGTATTAGAGAGAGGCCAACATTTTACTGGTATTTCCCTTCTTATGACTTCGTTTTGCTGTGCTGTATGAACACGTGGAAAGACAAAAGTTCAAGTAAAAGGTGGATTTTCTATAATGTGTACACCTCTTGGAAAAATAAATCACACCAAATCTAAATACAAACTTCAGGACAAGGCCATCTTACGCTGTCCTCTGAATTTAAGTTTGGAACTGACTTCATTTCTTTTGGAGTGCCTCAGTAAGACTTTTCTAGACAGCTTTCCTAGAGCAGACAGACTGCAGTGTTCACAGCTGTTTACTAGGGATTTCTCTAAGACAGTGTTCAAAGCGAGGCCCGCAGCTCCTGCTCCACACCCTAGCAGTGTTGAAGACGGTCACAGAGCACTCAGGTTAGCATCCAGGTCAGCAAACTCATGCCCTGCTCAGAAGCCAGCTGGGAACTTGATCATGTGAGTGGAAGATCTTGAACTGAAAAACATTTTCTTTAAAGACTAACTGGACTTGTATGTTAGTGAAATCATTCTCTATGATAGCTAGTTTTGCTTCTTTTCAAAATTTCATATAAATTGTAATGTTTTAACTTCTAATAGAAAACATCTTACAGCCTAAAGGAAGAGTAGAAAATTTTCATTTATAAGGGCAACTTGAAAGTTTTTCTTACTGTCCGTCCACCAAGAGAAGAAATAGGAGGAGGGAAATACTGTATTGTCATTTAAAATGTTTTTTATTGGCATATACTTATGTTGCCCAATAGGTCTACCATGGGGAATCACACATATTCATAGCTTATTTTGGTGCATTTTCCTTCCCCTCCCCCACCTTCCCGTCTCCCCTCATCCCCAGCTCCTCTTCCCCTATCCACAAAGTCCACGTTCCTGTTTGCTACCATCTCTTTTTTGCTTCTTAACTGCATGGTGACGTAGGTATTACTCTCACTTTTGTAGATGAGGAACCCAAGAATCCTATGTAATGACTAGCCTAAGGTGACACAGCTAGTTAGGGACAGGTATCAATTACATGACAGAAACTACTGGAAGTGCCTCTGTGTTCCTACCTTTCAAATCCTTTAGTACTGTTTTTCTCTTTTTTCCTTCTTGGTATAAGAAAATTGGGCTTCCAACTTTTTGTTTTGTCTTCACTGAGGAAAAAAGTGAGTAAGTAAGTTAAAACTGAACTATTAAACATTTATGGAACCAACTTTCTGGCAGTTATTTTACAGAAAGGGTGAAATATTTAGAGATACAGTTTGACAGTCGGGCAAGGCTGTATAGTATACGCATTTGATAGTATTATATATTGGTATATAATTATATATGCCAGGAGCAAGAGATTAGCCCACTGATAATCACATTTCCTTTCTTTTCCAAGCCTTCAATTCTTTCTCTCTAAAATGTGAATACTACTAAACTTCCCTATGATACAAGATTGACCAAGTAGTGTTTTGCATCTGGGGATCTAGGGAGAAGAGAATACAGAAAAAAAAAATTATAGAAGAAACCAATACTGCTTGCACATCTATGTGTCCATCTTCTGCGGGGTGTGTTAGAAGTTAACTCATTTTGTTTTCACAGTAAGCGCTGCGTTAATGATTTAAAGCCCAGTGGTACCTCAGTCCACAGACTTGGTTCATTTCAAGATTCTGGGAAAGATGCTGTGTTTCTGCTTGTGACTAGCTGTGGAGTTCATGAAGGGAAGCAACATGTTGCTGCTTCTGTTTACAAACCACATTGTTCGTGAACAGAAAGAAGCATGCTGACCCAGGGTATTATTTTATTCATTCATACAGTTTGATAAACAGGGAAGCATCAGAGAACTAGATAACATGGTCATAGAAAGTTAGTCCTGATGGGTGTTTCTTTCACCATACCTGTTACACCAAAATACCTTCTGTAAATTACTACTATTCTCATTGGACAAAACAGGAATCCTCTTTATTTTTATTTTTTTTAATGAGCAGAATATATATATATATATATATATATATATATATTTGTTTGTTTTGTTTTTTCCATAATTTTATTGAGAGACAAATAGCTATGAGTTTCAAATCAGATTGGTAGGACAGTTTCAATAATTAACACATTGCATACTGTCTTCCTAGTGGTTATTTGCTGTACAAGATGCAGACATGATATCCTATTTACAAACACTATTACAACAAATCCCTCTATTCATTAAGAGAACGTAACTATATATCTATCCTAACCATTTTGAATACACAGATACAAAATGTACATTCATTTATATATCCCCTTTGAGCAGAATATATTTATTGAGGAAAGAAAGCTCCTGTCCGAGAGAGGGACAGGAGGGGGGCCTAAGCGGGTAGTTCCCCCAGGAATCCCCTTTATCAACTATCTGTATGTCTATGGTACTGGCACATCTGAACACTTAATAACTCTTACTGAGCAAATGATAAACACAGCGACATTATTTCAGAGGAACTTTTTTAGTTTTTAAAAGGCACTGTATCATACTCCCTTCAGATTACAGTCAGGAGCACCAAAAGGATGCTAATTAAGGACCTAGCCCTTTATAGCATAGAAGATGCGGCCTAGAGAAGCCTTTGTGTAACCTTGTAGAACTTGTCCAGGGAACTCTGATCCCTTCTCTGCTTGTTACCTTTGGAGCTCATGAGAAGGAACTCAGCCTGTTTCGTAGCTGGCTGTACCATGTTCACTGTTCTCTCCAGACAGTGGTTTAGACATATCCCAGGTGTACACAGCCTAAGCTCAGCACCACGTTAGGCACAAATGTTCTGTGTGAACATGCGTGTAAAATTGGATGGAGCTGCAATTATGAGAGGAAGGAATTGGCACAGGAGAGCTCTGCTTAGAGGGTTATTTTCTTCATGGAGTAGCACTAGTACTTCAGTATTTAAAAACCACGAAATTTGGAATGTGAGTAACTGGTTCTGTGAGTGTTCTGCAAGACTTGCAAGTATGTCTGATAAATTTTAACTTGATGAACAAGTGGTGTCTCGCTGCACAGGTAGTACATGATGATGAGTATCACATGATCCTAACTGAGCCAATGGTTCTTCTGTCTGTCCTCCTAATCCCCGCATGGGATTGTGGGTGATAATCTCACAACAGCCAGAGGTGATGGGAGAGATTTTATGTGCAGAGGAGAAGGAGAAAACGGTGGAATTCCTCACTTTAAATGATATCAGGGAGATGTGAAAACGTGGGAAACCATGGAACGCTCTAGAAAGGCACCACCTGAGTAAGGCTGTAGCTGTACAAATGATGACTAATATGTTTAACAACGATAT